CCACGGACAAAAGATCACGGGATACCAGGCACACTAAACTGCAAGTGACACAAAACCGCAGCAGCGTCCGCTCACACTGGCGGTGGCTCCTGGGGAATGAGCTTCGTACAAAGGGTCCTGGTGCCACGCTCAGCCTGCAGAGCTCCCAGGAGCAGAGTTGTTCCCCTCTGCTCCAGTGGCATTTATACTGCGTCCTCCAAAACTGGACCATGGACACAGGACCCATGTGGACAGGGAGCCGCTGTCTGGTGAGGTGGTGGTCCCCTGGCTTCCCCTGGAGGTGCGGGCTGACACTCCCCGTGAGAGTGGGCAGGGCTCTTGCTCCTGTTCCGAGGGAGATGGTTAGGAGTGAGCAGCACAGCTCTTCACCCAGCCCCTCTCCCCGAGGTAAGGAGATCCCATTAGTTCTTGTAATTGATCCGAGGGCCACGGCGGCCTTGCTTAGCCCTCCCGGATGCCATTCACGTAACTCAACGTCCAACATGGCTGAGCCCTGGATCTGCAACCTCACGCCGCGCCTTTTTTTAATCAGCTATCTGAGGGATATTTATCTAATCAACAAAGAGTACTGTCAGCAGGAGACCAGAGGTGACATTAATAAGCCTGTGGTTTCCTGGTACAATGATGGAGGAAGAGTTTAGAACAAACCCCTGCTCATCTGAGCATGCCACCAGACAGAGGAATATTTTCATTCCATTTATAGAGCTCGTCAGAAGAGTCTCACGGGGAAATCCACTCTGTGACTTGTTCTCAGCTTTCACATGCTGTCGTAAAATAAAATACTATTCTTAAGAGAAACAAATTCACAGAAGTTTCCCTTTAAAATTAAATTTCAAATCCCTTGCGATTGCATGAGCCTGTATGAAGAACTGCCTCTTGCAGAACTCTGGAGATGTGTGATAATTGGGCATTGTTACCTCTGAGCGATTCCAGCTACTCTCCCTTGGTCGAGAGGCGTGATTTGCACATTTTTCCTTTCTCTGCCTCTCTTTGGAAAGATTGTGGCTGTCTGTTAGTAATTATGAGGAGTGAGTGTATTAGGCTGCACTCATTTGGTCATCTAGACGTCATGCTTTGTAACTATCAGACACCTTAAAGAAAGGTCCTTTGAATTAATTGATACTGATCTTTCTTGGTAAGGTGCATGACTCAGGTTGGCGACATGCACCCCACCTGCCAACCCGGTGGCCCAGTAACTAGAAAACCAGCTAACAGCCAGGACACTGCTCCACACCAGTGTGTTGGTGCCAGAAAGTGCCACAGTTATTTCTCCCTGTCATTCAAGGATCACCTTATAAATTGGGTCTATCTACACCTTCAGTGGGCATTGGCAGCAGGGCTCTGTGTTCTTCTTAAGGAAATTAACGGTACCACTTTTATTTCCATGAGGTCAACCTTTTGTCTTCTGAGTTTGGTAATGAGTCTGCACGCTCAACCTGAGTTCTTCAGAGTTTTGGACCTTTTAAAACGCTCCAAGGGGCATGGTGAGGAGTTTTACATCTCTCCCATCTTAAATTCTCACCCTTCTGTCTTCTTACTTGCTACCTCTTGCGGTGACATTCATGTAGCAGTCTTGTGTGTACCATGCAGTTCACTTTCGGCACCAGTGTGGGCATGTTGTCCTGCTGCTGGCTCCCTTTCCCCAGGATGGTTCTGCCCGCCAGCAGGAGAGCTCAGAAAATTCCATTTAATTTGCAAGCTGATGCGAGAAGAACGCACACTTGCAGTCTGCACTCGGGCTGGCAATTAGTTTGCACCAGATCTGAAGTGATACGTCACAGGTCCTCACAACCACGTAGATTTACATTCATGTTTTCAAACACGTGAGCCAGTGCTGAGACATCACGCTCGTTGTATAATTGCTTGAGACAAAATGACGCCCATTTATGGAAGAGGACTTTGCTTGTCCAGTGAGCAGAGCTGCAGGATGAGTGCCAACGGTAGCTCAGACCTGCTGCCTTTGTGTCCAATAACAGGTGGAGTTCAGATATCAAAATGCTAGCTTTGTGAGAAATGGCATTAACAACAAAATAAAACTATTGGTTTCTGAAAGTTAAAAAAAAAAAGATCTCAAACTTTAATTAAAATAAAAATTACCCAGAAATTTTCATCTTTTGAGCCAGTCCCATGAGGTTTTCAATAGTTGTCACCTATTGCCAAGTCAGAGAGTGGCTCTGCCGATGTGATGGTCAGTAGTGGCACATGGCACCAGGCTGGAGGGCCCCAGGTTCCCTTTGACATGGGGGGGTCGGTTGCCCCTGGAAGTGGAACTAGGCAGCATGGGATGTACCCTGAGATGTTATCGATGATGATGTGATTGTGTTTTCTCGTGGAGAAGCTTCTAAACAAGGCAGCTTAGAGCAATCAATGCCCCAGGAGACAGATGCACGTATCAGGACCTTGGTATCAGCCAGAAAATGGCCATTTGTTTAAGAGGAAGAAAAAGGCATGACATTTTACACATTAAAATTGATTATTTCATCAATAGGTTAATAGAAAACCAGGCTGCAAGTTCACTTCCTGCTTATACATCCCTCCAGTAATGGGAGACCAGAGCTTGAAAAATGCAAGGCATAAAGCAGCCAGGGGAAGGCTCCTGCGCTGGGAGTCCCTCCCTTCCAAAGGGTGCCGCCTTGATTCTGCCTATTTATATGTAAATGTTCTAGAAAGAGGTGAGTTTTCCTGTGAGAAGTGCAGCCTCTTAGTGGCTACTTCTTCTTAGAACTTATAAAATACGGGATTAGATGGCAGAGCTTCAGCTTTGACAAATTAAGCACCTACTGAATTCTACAAGTGCATCATTGTACCTGCAGAACCTGGGCTCTACCCTGAACAGTTCTGAAGTCAAGGTCTGAAAACTGGCCATTGTGGTCCCCCACTGATAATGCATGGTATTCATATTGGAGGGAACCTGAAGACCCCTACCCCGGGGTGGGATTGCCTGGGACAGATGCTCAGGTAGAACCTTGCCGAGAGTAGAAATAAGGGAATTACCCGTGAGGAATTACACGCAGACCCACATATGGGGGAAAGAGGGTCACATCACTGGTGAGAGAGTGCATTTCTTCTTAAATTTTTTGTCGATGTTAAAACTACAAGGTGATTCTTAGGTGTTCATTTATAATAAACTGACATTTTAAATCAAGAGACAGCTAATGTCACAGCTAGTTTTGCTCTTAGGATAAATTCAAAATTTGCATCCTGAACACAAAGTGTTTCAGAATTGTATTTGCTTCCTTAAAGGTTTAGGTTTCTCACGTGGCTCTATAGTGTCACTGCAAAGACATCCCATGTGCATAAAAGTGCTTGAGCTGCACTTCAGCAGCACTCATCACAGAGTCCTGGTCATCTTCCCAGCTCATTCTCTGGCCACCAGAATGTGGTACAGGCCCGCCTGCCCCAAGGGCCCATGATGCACTGTGTGAGGTTAGAATTCTGGCTCTGACGCTGCAGCAGGCAAGACTAGTTAACCTGTCAGAAATGCATGGGGTCAGAGAGCTGATCTTCTGCCAGGGCCTTGTGAGTGGAAAGGCCAGCCGTGTGCACGTTCCCCAGCCCGTGGGAAGGCCTGCGTGCCCCAGGTGAGCGTGTCTCACCTCCACAGCCTGGGTTCCTCTTCCTTGGCTGTGCAGGCTGAGGGACAGATGGTCCTGTGGTGTCTTCTTCAGGAGTGTGCGTGACTGCCACTGCACTGGACCTGTCAGTATGTGAGCCTGCATGGCAGGCCCAACCATCCAGCCCTTTGAGGTGTGGCTGTCTCCAGCCACCGTGCCCCGCGGACGTGCTCTCCAGGAACATCCACCGAACTCCCCTTCAGTTTTGTGCAGTGTCTCCTGAAGGGCTGGGAAGAGTCCTCAACTGCCGGTGTGGCCATCCCTGAGTTGGCCCTGTGAGTGGGGTAGGCTGGGTGCACTGCACGTCCCTGCAGAGTGGTCCATGTACAGCGTGCTGGGCAGGCTGCTGTGCCCGCGCTCAGCTGGCACCGTATCCCACTTCTGCCCCAGCCTCCCTCTGGTGTCTCTCTCTTGGTGAGAGCTGGGGAAAGCGTGGAGCTCCCTCCAGAGCCTGCTGCACCCCCAGCAGTGACAGAATGCACTTGCCCTTCTACAACCGCAAAACTGCACCAGGGTTTTGCTGCTGTGGTCACTGCCCAGCTAAAATCCATTTGGGGAAAACCACTTCCATTTTTTAACAGCTTCTAGTTTTAAAGACCTATGATCTGCAACAAAGATGTGAAATGCTCATCATCATCGTCTGTTGGTTTGAGATGCTCCTAATAATTTGGTAAATCAAAGAGCTATGGCTGCTGGATCTCAGCTCCCTCAAAGGAGGCGGCAGCCCCCAAGGAAAGGCCAGTTTGTGCCCTGCTTTGAGTCCTGTCAGTTTGCAGAGGGGATGCTTGCCCTTCTTTGCCTGGGCATTGCTTTGATTTTGTGCAAACCCAACGACTCTGGCACACCTCTGCCCTTCCCGAGCCCCTCTGTGTCGACAGGGGAGTGGGGGGCCAGGCAGGGAAGGCACTGTCACCTGCTTGGTGAGACTGACCGCTCGGAGGTGACTGCTCACGTGCTACTTTGACATTTCTTTTCTCCCCTTTTCATTTGTTCTCTTTTCCTTTTTGTTTTCTCTCTCTTTCCCCCGTCTCCCCTCTCTGCTCTCGGGATGCAGCCAAACGCAAAGCGTGGAAACTAAACCGTGTTGGTAGCCTGCGAAATATATACAGCAGCAGCAGCGCCAACACCGAAGGTAACGCCTCCCCGGCCGCCCTCCTTCCCATGCAGACTGGAGATGCGGCCGCCCAGCAGCATGTGCCTTATTGTGTTTGCACAGTCATTCCTGTGGTCTTTCCATCTTTTTGTTTGTGTGTTTTATTTTACCACTCATGTTCCTTTCAGCTTACTTAAATTTTGACCTTTCCCTTCAGTCGTAGAGTAGTGATGTTTAAATTACTTCAGAAACCTATTTTCTCCTCTTTTTTCTTTTCCTTTATACATGTGGGCACTCAATGTAATATTTCCCAAGTTATTACAGTTTTTAAAAGTGTTAGTATCAGGTGTAATGATCTGTAGCCAAATACAATAGTGTGCCGTGACATTTAAGTAACAGTCTTAATTTGTTTTGTGGAAGCAGTCTCCATAATGTCTCTGCAGCTCTAATCCAGAGGCAGGCAGGCCCGGGCCATTTGCATGGGCTGCTATTGCTTGTAAATTCAGTATATTGTTGTGTTTCTAAAGGTCGTCTGGTGCCAAAGTTCACAAATTGACTTGCGTTGCTTTTTTCACCGAAGACAGCCGTCATTGCTTTTGTATAATAGCAGATTGAATTTTTCCCCCACCTTCATTTGAACAACACAATTATAAATTGCCTTTTTTTTATGATTACAAATGTCAGGGGTCAGGATTATTTTGATGCCAGGCAAGGGGAAACCACGCCGTCCGTCCAAGTACATGCAAGGGAGCTGGCGTGGACTCTCTGTGATGCAAAACAGGTCACGGCCGGCGAGCTTGGTGTAATAGGGGGGAATTTTTTTTCACTTAAGTGCGAGCCAAATGGGTCAAGTAATCGCGAGCTCGTGCCCTACCACTAATTGACTTATTTGGGGATGATTATAACTGTAATATTTTTCTTAATGTCACTGTTTTCTGGGCTGTTGATTTTAGCGATTGCCAAGCAGTGGCATTAAATCTCTTGTAAATTTTAAATTGCACGCTATTTCTGTAAACAAGTCCCTTCTTCACATCCTGGTCATTAACCTTTGCTGATTTATATCACCGTCCTCTTTTTCTTCCTTTCACAATTACGCCTGTCCTGCTGCCGAAAGCTCTGCTCTCCGCCAGGAAAAGAAAAAAAGAATCTGGAAAACAGAACTGCACTTGCACAATGGCTTGTTAAAGAGCCAGTTTTTAATCATCTTTTTTTTCCATTGCTCAAGGGGGAATTGTCTGCTAAGGTGCCCCAGTGGTGCTTGGCCCGTTGATGTCTTCTTTCCAAGCATTCAGCAAAGACAAAACGGTAGAGCGGGAGAAAACAGAACTTAGGAAACAGTCACACTCTGTATCTTTTTTGTGCCTTTTAAAAGGGACTGATGTCACTGTTGCTCTGGTGCATACCATTTCTCTTCCCTGTGCCCTTAGCAAACGTTTTTCTTCTATATGCCCATGGGTTTGTCACCACCAGTTGTTTACTGACTTCCAGACTTAAAAACTAGTAACTTATAAGGTCTGACTTTAAGTGTAATTGAATACAAAATTGGGGGAAAGTAAGGAGGCACACATGGGCTCCCCTTCTGTGAGGGCAGACGTCAGGATGCACGGGCATGCGGACCCTCAGCCTTGACCATTCAGGTAACAGCCCACTGCGCCAAGCTGGGGCCCGGAGGGTCCGTGGAGGGAGTGAGGGTTGGAGGAGGCCAGGTCCTCTCTGTGCATACTGGGCAGCTATACAAACTCAGGGTCCCCAAGCCAGCTGTCAGTAGCTCTGACAGGCAGTCACAGGGACTTGGGGGGAAATAATGATGGCGCAGCCATTTCCCTCTCTCCTATTCGTCCATTTTTTCTCTGTCACAGTAAGTTTCTGTTTAGTGTTCAGCAGCATAATCATCCTTCATTTACTTTGGCTTTCTCTTAAGACTAATATCTGTATGCAAACAGTCTCATTTCACACAACCTTTAGTAGTAGATCATGGAATTCGCATAATTAATTCCATAAATGGTCAGATGCCCTCTGATTTCTTGCCTTTGGATGTATGACATCATTGCATGCTCACCATGACATCATCTGTGTGAAATTTGTGACCTGAGCATTCTAACTTTTGTTTTGACCCTCTGAGGCCTTGTGGGTGACACTAAATGGACCCATCCCAAAGTGGAACCTTTTGTAGGTGCCCTACTTCAGGATTTACTCTGAAGTACCTCTAAAACACCACTGAAATAAGGTTGACCCCAGAGCTAAGCTCTCTGTACATGGTGAGAGTAAGAGGGGAGGGGAGCACACTGTTGGGCTTTCCTGGGGACACAGGTTTGTGAGAGACAGACAGGGCCACAACTTGAGCCCCACAATCGTTGAATCCCTTTTTATTTAGTGCCTACTTTGTTCAGCCCCTGGACTACGTGATCTCCTTTAATCTCCACGGTACCCTCCAGGTAGGTATTGGGTTACAAACAGATGGTGGAGGGTCCCTGGAGACAGGACTTGCCCTCTGTCTCTCCATTTCAGGCCCCACTCACAGAATCACATGGGAGGGGTGATGGATGGATGTCAGGAGTGGCTGGAAACAAGTTAAACATAAGCTTTCATAGAAGTAGAAGCCCATGTACAGGATTGGAAAACAAGCAAAACCAGGTATTTTTTTCTCTGTCCATTAGGGCCCATTTAATCTCTGAAGCCAAGATAGAAACTTGCCTCAGACATACCTATTTTACCAAGTTTTAGATCTTGGTGGTTTTTTGATAATTTACCTCTTTCTCAAGATTCCTGCCTTCTGCATCTCAGAAGCCTGTGAGTGGAACAGAAGGTGGGTTAGTGATGATGCTCTGGTTAGTAGCTGCTGCCAGCCCAAGGAGAAGAAAGACCTGCCTACGAGGTGGCTGCGGCCAGCCTTGAGAACGTTCAGCTCTGTCTCAAGTCTCTCTAAGAAGCCAGAGAGACTCCTCGGAACAGGGCGGTCTGTGAGGAAGAAGGCGGCGAGGGGGGAGGCCTGCTGGGCTGGGTCAGCAGCAGCCCTCCAGGGCGGAAGGCCCAACCAGAAACAGGCTGAACAGCAGCACAGCAGGTGGAGCGAGGAGACGGAGTCACGCAGGTGCCTGAGCTGTTTCAGCAGAAGGGAAGTACTTCCAGTATGTGGGTGAGAGGGAGACGTGCTGGAACAATGGGCATTTCTTGGGGTGCGGAGCCCACTGCATCTCCTCAAGACAGCAAGGTGCATTTGCGCTCGCAGGTGTGTCTCTGGGTGACACTTGTACAGGGGTCAGCCATGCTTACTGTTGACCCCAAGTCAGCCCATCGTCCTGCTCTGTCTATAAAGGTCCATTTCTATGGTTCAGAACTTGCACCAGAGACAGACCTGGGAAGCCGCGGCGCTGGCACATCTCTGTGGCACGCGGGCCTCACTAGCTGAATCAGGACCTTGGTTCTCAGTAGGCAGCACCAGCAAGAAGCAGCCGAGCTCCTGCTGGAGGGCATCTCCCTGCAGCTCCACCCCAGGCCTGCGACAGAGGACCACGCCCACTTCCTCCACGGACTGCCAAGGAGGTCACCGCACCCCTGAGCAAGCCTGCGCAGGCCTGACCTCTTGACCATCCCTGCCCCTCCCAGGCACTGGTCACAGTCCCAAGGCTCCGAGCAGAGTCGGGGTCAGCCAGTGGCAGACACGCACACTGCTTACATCTGAGCTGCCGATGGCTGGTGGGCAGCCTGCTTCTCCTGGCATCCACTCCACCAGGATGTGCCACTCCCAGGCTGGGTCCAGGACACCTGGAGGGGTCATACTGCCCCCACTGGCTGCCCTCAGGGTCACAGCAGTCCAGGCCCGCAGCCTCAGGAAGAGGAAAGGTGAGGGTCCTGCACAGCCCTAGGGGCTCGGGTGGCGGAGGGGGAGCTGCGTCTGGGTCAGGTTCAGGAGGCTCCGTGGCCTGCGGAACCTGGAGGTTCCCATGTGACCCATGTGACCATGGGACCCAGGGCTGCAGCACATGGCGTGGAGTGATTCCTGGCGTCCTGTTGAGGATCGGCCAGCCACCCTGGAGGGAGGTGGTGTCCTCCCTGTTCTATGAGGGAAGTCCTGGGTCCCAGGGACACCAGCTCATGGGGCAGCCCTGGTGCTCCAGGCTGGCGGCAGCCTGCATCTAAACTATGCTCAGTGGAGAGCAGCCCTGGGCTGGAGGAGAGACGGGTGAAGGAGACCAGAGGGTCAGCAGCCGGCTGTCACCACCAGAGGAAGAGGCTGCCCAGAGGCGGCTCTGCTCCTCCCCATAATGGGACCCAAGGGGACTCCAGAAAGCGAGGACAGTGTCCGCGGGTCTTTCTAGGAACTCCCTGCAGCTCGCAGCAGGCCCCAGCCATCTTCCCAGGCCCATGCAGGAGTCCACCCTCCAGACCCGAGTCTCGTCTGTGACCCTTTCCCAGGCTCAGAAGAGGCTGTTCATCCCAAGTCCTCTGCACACGCTCTTCAAGCTTTTACTCTTCATCAAGAATTCAGCAAACCTGGTGTTGTTCCTAACAGACAGCGACTGTGGTCGAAAGATGCCCCCAGGCTCTTGAGCGGGATGGTCTTGAGTCTTTTCCTCTCCCCAGTCTCTAACCCTGGGGCCATGGATGTGTGCTCCATGTGCCTCAGTTTCCCTGCCAGGGTGCTGGGTGGTGGTTTGGAGTCAGTGCCCATGGGAAGCTCTCAGTGCAGGATGGCCCCTCCTGGTTCCTGCCTGGTGTCGGGAGCACCCCTACCCAGGACCCACACATTCTCTGCCCTTGAAAGAAAGTGAAAATGTTCAGACCTTGTTTACATAGCAAGGACAGGCAACAAGAAATGTTGTCACCAAAGGTGTGGGAAGAGCCTGGAAGTGCAGACTTAATTCCTTCCAGAGAAGCATCTGGTATAGAAATTCGGATCAGGAACTCAGAATCAGGCCAGGATCAGGTCCCAGATGTGTGAGCTTGATGTTCCCTTCTCTGCCTCTGACATCGAGGCAGAAAGCCAGCCTCAAAGAACAGGTGAAGAAAGATTGGAAACCTGGGCAGCCCTTCCCACT